CTGTTCTCATCAAGGGTGGACAGCAGAATCGACCTTGCATCGTTCTTAGCAACACCCTCAACGGGCGTCGAACCTCGACAGTACAGGACGTGAGCTTGACACACTAATCACACACTGCCGCGAGCGCCGTTTTGGGTCACAGGGCAAATGTGAATTTTCAAGGAAGGCCAGGCCTTTTTGCCATATCATATTCTTTTGGTGGAATGGTCGATGAAGCAAACGTATATTTGCTATAACAATCGACTACTATACTTTATTTTTCGAATTAAGTATTGCTTTTGTGACTACCAGTAAATAAGTAATATGAGATGTATTCACACTTTTTCGTTTAAGGTGATGAAGGACTGGTAGAAGAACTTTTAGCACGGTATCCCTATTTTTAATCCCAATTCTAAATTTTACACTCACTTATCTGCCTCTTCATTTGCTCCAATGCCGACTAAGAGTGTCACTTTCAGTGGATTTATTGAAGCATAATCATCTTCATCACCGGTTTTAGATTCCGTTCAGAGAATTTATGGAATTAATTCATCACTTTCCTTTAGCTCATCCTTCCCACAGAACTTGTCAACTTTTTCCTAATTTACATAAAAATTACTGTCTGACTGACTGTTCTTATAGCCCCGAATCCATATCCAGTTTATGTCATATTAAAAGGATGTCAGTTTCATAGACTTCATAAACCTGATGTCCCAGATATCCTCTTTCCAACCTCAACACAATTCTCTCCAATTCTCCGGAGCCCTGTATGTGGTTTCATTTGGAACCGACAGTCGGTGGACTGCTTGATATATTTACTTCCACCTAATCCCATGTTCCTACTCATTTCTGAGTGTGTATATTGACTAATATCTATCCTTGTGCGGCATGTCATAAGCCACCTCTGATTGAAGGCTCACACTTAACTCATGTGCTAGGGCCCAACGAATATTGTAGCCCCGCCTCGGTCTTGAAAGAGATCTAGATCCTTTATTTATATATCTCCAGGTGGAAAATTCCCATTCCGTGGACGATTAAGTCTAGAGGACGATTGCAGAGGGAGGAGACGAATCTAGAATTAACTTAAAGAGCTAAACTGGCTGGGTCAACCCGGGGGTATGAAAATGAAGAATCAAATACATCAGAAAACGAGGCCAAAGCAATAACATACCTCCAGGGAAAACTGCGGCAAACATAAGACCGCATCAATTTGGTCTTCATGTCTACAACCCACCTACCAGTTAGGAAGACATGAATATCGAAAATCTGCTTGTGGGTAGGACTTGGGAGTGGGAACAAAGTCGAGCACTGAGGATGAGAAGAAGATTTGACTGTCCCGGCGTCCGATCTGTGGTCGTGAGCATGCCATGTATGCGAAGACTTTCATTTTGTATGAAAGTGGATGATAAAGTGACTCGAAGGTCGATCGTTTTGCCTCCTTCATATGCATTTTCTTCAACGTGCCCTTTACTATTCCGTTGATCTTCTTGTTTGGATCTTGTCTTAGTATTCGATAAGTGTTTGGCTGGCCGATTTTATTCGTATATAGTTTTCTGTTCATTACCATCGCCGCTCCTCCCGTCTCCGCAAGAGGCACTATTTGTTCCAGTGAAGGCAACAACTAAGGTGCGACAAAACGTCTGGGAATGTACCGAGGACCCAGTTAGACGCTGGAAAATATCGTGAATACGCATAAAAGAAGATTCGGGATACAGAACTTTCACTGAGGTCGCCATGACAACGCTAACAAGTTGCAAAAAACGTTTTAAAAAACTGTTATACAACGAAACGAGAACACGATCATTATAAGGGCTTGTTTTAGAGACTTTCATCTTGTATGAAAGTGTATACTGAAGTGATTCTAGGTTAATCCCGCCAGAAGACGACGGCTCAGTCTGGTTGTTCTGCAGCCGTTTGGCGTTACTATGGCCTTCACTCCACGACGCAGTCCACAAGACATTCTTCATCATTTCAAGCGAAAGCAAATCAAGCTTTCCTCCGCCATATGACGGACATCCTCTGAGCTGTAAATCATTCGTGTAAGTGTCGAAATAACACAAAGTCATCACTTAAGTAAGTTAGTTATCTCAAGAGTTTCGTGAAAACCCAGTCTTTCTTCGTAGATACATGGCATTTGCACAAAACATGTGTTATTTCAAGTAGGAAAGGCTCAGTGAAAAGCACTGGCATCATGAGGTCTAGTCATAGCTTTGTGGGAAAACGTAACTTCCAGTCCTGCATCCCGTATTCCAGATATGTTGTTAACCTCGAAACCTATCCCTAATGGATACTTGCCATTTTGGGCCACATTCAGATTGACAAATCAAATTATGCGAAACAGGTCATGAGTGAATGTTGCCAAAGCATAGTGTCTTGTTTCGACATTTTTGGTCATGGTTAAAGAGACTAAATCCTAGGACAGACGAATCAGAGTCACAGGACCAAGCACAATAGCCTCATAGGGTCAGTATAAAATGATGATATCTATTCAGCCTATTTGGTTTAAGAGGATGGTGGAATTGTAATGGCAGTTTCCCACAATCAAATTAGTAAGCCTTACGTTTACATTGAATTTCCCATAACCTCACTTCCCAAAGGATATTCTCATCCGGGCAGGAGTCGATTGCAGAATTGGCGCCTCGCACAAACCGGTCTCATCAGCAGCTCCGACGGGACTCGAACCCGGGTTGTGGTGATGCAGCATACAATCTTGATACTCTCACCCCAATGCCAGACTGCCACGAGTGCCATTGGGTAACATGGCGGAAGATAATTTATGGAAGGCCTGGAGGCATTTTTGCATATCACAATCCGTGGTGGAATTGTCGATAAGGCAAAGTTATATTTGCTACAGTAATCGACTACATTACTTATTTTCAGTTTATCAGTAGGTTTTTTGAGGCTGCCAGTAGAGAATATATATTTGAGACGTACTCACCCTAAGCATAACTGCCAGACAATCCGTTTACTCGGCTCCCAATTTGAGCAAATTCGTGCAACTTTTCAGGTCAACTTACAGACTACTCGAAGAGTCCAAAAGTAGGCAACAACCGAGTATATGCTAATAAAGAGGCCATATCTCCAGCACTACTCATGTCAAAGTATTGGTGGAGCTCATGATTTAACAATCCCCATTTTCAGCTTCGAGGATGAGCGATTTGCCTGTATCTATCCGATATCGCGTTGGGAAATGGTGAATAGCAGGAGAATAGCGCATTCAATGTAGAGTTGCCTTGGCAACTGGGTAATGAGGCAAATTCCGCCTCTTGGCAAGCAGTCAGGCCGGCTGTTTTGTTGCCCCAAAGGCATCAACTGTGAGATGCCGTAGTGAGGGGTCGAGAATCGGGCCGCAAAGGGTGACCGGCGCCTCCGAGGCTGGTTCTGCAGTGGCATCGTTGCCCGTTTGTGATTGGTGGTGCTTCGAGGGGTGGCTTTGAGGCAGCCGCAAAATTTGCCCACACTCGGTCGGCTCACATCGAGCCTCGGTCGGTGTCAGTACCTCTGCCACGCCGTCCTGGTTGTCATCAACTCGATTTACCCTCTTGCAATCAGTTTCTACTCATATTGACTTGTTTACTCTGCCCTTGTTTGCGTAAGCTTTGGAATTGCAGGCCTGGCGTTACCTGCTGCTCTGCTCAGCCATTGAGTCGCACAGTTCCGGTGATTTCAGGACGACATATTTCGGAATTTCCCATAAAGGGAAACGGGAAAAAAGAGCTGTTAAACGGTGCTTTCCAGGCGAGCAAATATAAAGTGGCACTTTGATAACTATTACCAAACAGAACCTCGTTAAAAATGCAAACATATGTTCAGATAGCGTAGGTTTTCAAGACTTGCAGCAATTCTTGACTAAGGCTTCTAGTCGCCAGATAGTTAAATTTTCCCGAAATTGTAAGAGTATATTTCAGGCCTCCAAAACCCATCTGATTTGGTGATAAGGAGGGTATACCCGTAGGTAGAAGTAAGGGTGAGGGAGTGGAAAGAGTTGAGCCATTTTTCCCAGTTGGGCTGACCTTGGCAAGAGAGTTGGACTTTTTATTTCAATCATTTCTCGAACAAGATGCCAGCTGTTCCACATCACGTGTCTCTTCTGGGAAGACATGCTCCTCAGGAATGCTTGCTATTGACGAATCAAGACTTGAGCCTCAGGGCAGACGAAACAGTTGAGTTACGAGCCGACGGTACCGGTCAACTGAGGTGGACAGGGTGGGGTTCATCCATTTCATCCTCACGTCCGATTTGAGAGTTAATTGTAGTCGAAAATGTCTGAGACTACATTTAGCCTCTCTCCGGTAGATTCTTAGTTTTTGCCCGGACGCAGACCTTCAGGCATTGTCGAGGCCGTTGTAAAGGGTGACTGTAAGTAAATGCCTCTTGGCAACTCAGCCAGACGTACAGGCTGGAAAAAACTCGCATAAAAAAGCGATCACTGCTGAATCCATCTTTTTGGCATTTTTCAACTAACCTCAACAATAGCTTAATGTTTGATATCTTTTAAGTGGCATTTAGCCTAAATTCACGTGTAAATTCACAAAATAAAATGACCAGGTACAACTAGGGCATTGAATTTTGCATATCATTTCCTCAAAAAAAGGCTTTCTTAGCTAAAATGGTACCGTTTGCACTCACTCTATGATTCTAAGACAGGTTGTGCGTGCAAAGTGGCCACACTTTATCACTACACCACACACAAACACACACACGTACATACACACACAAGGTTGCCAGATGCGAACCAGGCCTCTGCCAAATCAATTTTTATTGTTAAATTGTTGATGTGACAAACATCTATTTATTTTTGTTTAGAAGTAGCGTTTCCAGACAACCAGTAAATCAGATATAGGAGATGTCTTCATTCTATTTAGCTTAAGGTGATGAAGAGCCGGTGGTTGAATTTTCCCACAATCACATGAGTAGAATTTACATTTACATTTCGTTTCAACGAGCCTTGCCGGCATTCCGTTTTGGATGAGAATGCTTTTTGGGAAGCAAGGCTATGTGAAATTGAATGGAAACGTAAGTTTTATTGGTATGATTGTAAGAAAATTAAACTACCACTTTATCTTTAGCTTAAACGAATTATGCTGCACACATCTCATAAACATTTATCTGCCATTTCACTCGACAACGTTACCTATTTCATAGTCCGAGTATCCTTCGAGTAGATCGGAAAAATGTCTATGGATGTGCCGAATCAACAATTGGATGCTGTAATTTATCATGACTACCATAAAAAGTGATTCAGGACCAGGTGCACTTTATGAGGTGTCTCTGGCGCAACAACCAAATTGTGAAAATGTAAAAGTGTTATGAATTCGTATCAAAGAAAGACCCAGATGAACACACCATGGCAACACAACCAAGTAGCGGAAATGGAGTCAAGCTGCTCCTATACATCAAAAGAAGACCCAAACTAACAAAGTTGTCATACCATCTTGGCCTTTTTACCTTCGATTGCGAAAACGAAGTCTGTTTTTTGGCCACCGTCATCTCTACATCCGTTATCACAACTTAGATGCGCCGGTATGGCAAGTTTTAAGACCGAAAACCCTAATTCGCCTTCTGTCATAGCATGTATGTCTTCTTCCAGCATCAACCGGCATCGACAATGCGCCTTGACACCCTTTCTCACCCAAATACAAAACCTACCAAAGAGACAAGGGATAAATCACCTATATTTACTCAAATTTGCAAATAAAAGTTGGTTTTTAGAATAATCTATTTGTTTTCAATTGTTGAGCTTACTTCCATTTAGAATGAAGGTGTTTGGTCAGAACGAGATTCGAAGTGGTATCCCATCAAAAGACAATAGCAACTTCCTCTTGACCAGTTATCCTTTGGCCTTATTGGTACATTTTGACCAAAGTTGTCCCCGAGGCAATTTCTT